CAGGAGCCTGTGCATGATCAGTACTTGCCAACAGTGCATAACAGAGATGTGACCGATCACTTAAGCGGCTAACGAGCCGATCAGTGGTGAAGAAGATAAAAGTAAAAGATGCGTTTGCGGTTTGAGCAGATGTGTCCGGGATATCGTTGACATTCCTGGGTAGTAACTCTGGGTGTACTCTTTTAAGTCTGGCTTCATGTACTACATCTGATGTTTATGTTTAGCCTCAAATTTTTAAATCTGTTGTCCATTTCCTTTGCGATAATCAGGAATAGACCTGAAAATTTAGCAAAAGTTGGGAGATCCGTTCAGGTTCTCTTACTATGACAGCATCGCCTATTTCTAGTGTTATAGGCTTAGCCTGTTTGTGTAGCTTATAAATCATTTCAGTGAGTGACAATGCTAAATGTGTGTTTACTTGACCATGGATGTCTGTGAAGACGCTTATTTGCTTTGCAGCGAAATCATCCACATTGTAGACAGGGCGAGGTTTGCCTTTAAGGACGTCATAAGGTAATAATATTTGTCTATGCCATAAACATTGTATACAGGCGATTTTCCTGTGGAGCTATTGCTCAACCCATTAATAAAGGTTGTAACTTGAGGTAACCCATCCTACCATATATTGTGCATTGGATTTACAAGATGATGAAGAATCTCAAGGATTTTACGATTGGTTCTTTTTCGACGAGGCTATTTGCCTGTGGATGATATGCTGTGATGAAGCTTTGTTGGGCACTCACTGAGGAGGCTTGATTTCTAGAGTGTTCACTGTGGAGACTTGATTTGTAGAGTTACAGGGTATGGTAATGATCGTTTGTACAGTGTTGCCACATATGAAGTGATCAAATGTATTAAAACACTTATAATAACTATAACAAACTTGTATGTTGAACTAGGACGTAACAAGAGTTTAACTAAAACTTACCGCCTCTCAGAAAGGTAGATATCAAGTGCAAAAAAGGAGAGAATGTCAAACTTTAACCAAAAATCTTTAATTTTTGTATAAAACTCTGTTTTTTGTTCATAGATTCGAAGAACTGCTACCACCTTAATGTTGCAGTTTCCGGTTACCTGTGAAAGCACTAATTAGAGGTGAACTGGAAACAACATTCATAAATGTTTATGGGTTAAGTTTCAAACCCAAATGTTTTTTCTCTATTTATTAAGAAAATAAACTATTTGCACAATAAGTGAGATATCACCATAATTAATGCTATGAGCTGTGAGCATTAATAATAGAAAAAGCTTGGGTATATCTAGCCTTTTAGAGCTACTTAATTGATGCCTCTGTGGTCAAGGTGAGGGCACAGTGGGAATACACTGTCACATGTCCAGTTGATGACTACTCACAGCTCATAGGAAAGATACTGTGGGTGATGTAATTATATAAACCTAATGTATGTAACCCACATTTATATAAGCATTACTGTCTGTTAGACAGGGGCTAATACACTCCTCTATTATTGCACTAGCAGTGCAGTGGGGGTGAACAAGGCCCATAAGCAGCTGTTTTCTCAAAATGGCAAATCTATGGATGGCCTTCCTCCAACACAGGATGCACTTTTGGAGCATACTAAGAGAGCTGCCTACCAAGGTTATATCTGGGCACAAATGTTGGTAGCTGTTCCCTCGTTTCCATCCCCTGATGAATGGGGTCGACTGGAAAAAGAGGATGGAGGTTTGGAAGTGAAGTGAACAGCTCTTCCCGATGCTTCCCATGCCTGCCAGGAACTACTTCGTTTAAGGTTGCAAGAAAGGATGCAGGGGACAATGTAAATGTGTGAAGGCTGCTCTACAGTGTACTATTCTTTGTCTGTGTGGAGGCCTATGTGACCGTGAATAGGTCAATCTTTTACAGTAATGCAAAATTATGAACTGATTATTGGAGTTTATCACCTATTCAACATCCAATTTAATTGTATTCTGTATTTTCTATAACCATAAGTTGACACATTGCAGCAGAGCTGTCCCAATATTTGATTATTAGCTGATTTGTGCCCAATTGTTAGTTATCTTGTTATTCTTTTATTGTATGTGCAGTTAATCTAATAACACAACAGCAATGAATTTATTTTTTACAACTATTATGCCTTTTCCCATATGAGTGAGGTGAGAAAAGGTTCTTAGCTCAAGTCATTTAATGGACAGGTGGCTGGTCTGTCACATCCGATGATGATAATTTGTGATAAAAGCATTCAAGTCACCTCTGAGGATTCAAACCTATGAGAGATGTCTGTTTCAGTTTAATGTTGAATTCTGTTGATTAAAATAAATGTTTTTACAGTTTTGTGGTGAATGCTGTTCCAAGTTTATGGTGAATGGTGTTATAAACAAGTGTTAATGTGATTGAATTTTTGCTGCCTTTAAAAATATTTACAGTTCATAAAGCAAAAACCATTAAATTTTACATGATAAAAAACTGACTCAAGCTCATACAAGATGTGTATTATCTTTCAAAATAAAATAAATAAGATGTAATAATACTGGTTACCTATAATCTGAATCCAAACTGTTAACAAATCTATGCTTATATGTAGGGAGCTGTATTTAATAATAATCACTATTAAAAATTGCTGTCACAGCACTCAAAGACAGATCTGAGATGACCCTATAGCCCAAAATGTTTACCATGCCCTCCTCTAAGCATGTGCCAAATTTCATGCTTCTATCATTAAACCCACAATTCCTTAATATATTTCCCCAATCTGCCTGACTATACACTACACGTGAGGAGCGAAATGTCCCCCTTGACCCTGAGCGCTCACACTGACCAGACAACTTGCATGGGGATCCAGCGCATAAGTTATTATCGTTCCACACTCATTTTCAGCCATTCCATATCATTTATACAACTATTTTGTTCTATTATCACTTAGTCAGACAGTTTATCTTTTTAACTCAATCAATAAAGAAGAAAAAATTTGCATAATTTTACCAGTAAAAGGTAAATATGAGTGATGCAGATTGCATCATCAGCCTGTATACAGTAGAGATTTGGACTGGATGAGTGGCTAGTGAAAGGGTTATTATCCCATCTTACAGACATGTGTATATGAAGTGCAATTGAAATTTCATGAAGGTGGCATTACCATTAGAAAACTGAAAATTCTTTTATTAGCACTAGAAACATTGGCCTTTGACCCTTCAACTTCAACCACCTGATGGAATCGAACTATGCCACCTCAAAAGTAGTTTATTAGTTCCAACTACAATGTAATCTCCAAAGTCCCCACGACTTTGGAATGATCAATGTTCTGCCATTCTAAAGAATACAGGTTTCCCCGAAGGCCTGAAATAATCACTGCAACCCCCTTTGACATATTAAATCCTCAGATACAAGATGCTGAAGAAGAGTTGATTCAAACTGAAGTTACCATACTCAGTGAGGCCCTTGATCTCAGCTGTGGGATCTAATAAATAAACCTGAAAACAGCATGTCTGTCATTATATTACAAACTCCTAAAATTAAGGACCGATGCATTTCCACAAACAAAAATATGTAGTGATAATTTCATTTCAAGGGAAGAGCCATTTCTCTATGCTGGTTATCATTAAAAAAAAAATTGATAAAGGCAGTATCCCCAAGACCACATATACTTTGGAGAAGTGGTTATAAGTATATATTTGCCCTTCTGGCTAAAGATTGCTTCTTCCGCTTGCATGCGACTCATACACCTGGTCCTGGTAGGGTGTACCCCTTGATCATATGTTGCTATCTGGATGATGTCTTAGTCACCTCTCCTGTCTTTTATAGTCACCATAAAACTCTAGACATGGTCTTTGAATGACAAAGATGACACAATTTAAAAGTTAAATCTCAAGAAAACAAAACTCGTTAGATGGTGGAAGGATGGGGAGAGGGAAGTACTAAATGGGGAAGGAGGATGGACATCCAGGTAGAAGTAGTGTTCATACATGATAGGAAACTATGGTGTTGAGTGGTTCATGGGGATGGGTGATGTTGGGTTGTATGAAGTAACAGGGGTAAACACCACAGCAGAACATATCTGTTACAACAGTTAACCCTCTCATGCATTATGACGCAAATCATGTCAAATCATCGGGTAGCAATATTTGCATCAGTGACATGAATTATGTCATTAAACTTTCATAAATTTACTCCCCCAAAAGTTTTCTAGATAATTGCATCAAATTTTTGTGCATCATAGATGACTGCATGATCTTGTAAGGTAAGCTTCCAGAAAGTATCAAAGCGAGGGTGGAATTCCCGTCCATCAATTTCCTCCCGTAAGCCAAGCTGGTAGGTCGCATTTGACTCCTTATTCCCTCTCCCATCCTCCCCACAATTAGTCGTGTCAAAATTCCACAGCCGCTGTTGGAAAGTTCATAAATTTGGCTTCTATAAATATTTAATACCATGGTAGGTATGTGAGAAAATATCTGAGATAAGATACTGGGAACGAATTTTTTTTCTTAATACTGTAGTGAGAAAAAAAAAACGGTCTTATTCTCATCCTATTAATGTTTTCTGCTTATGTTAAAACCCAAAAAATAACAAAACCAGTGATATATAAACCATGCAAACAAAAACTTATTTCTTGTGGGTGAGTGGTCACATATGACTTTTGTCATGGTCACGGAAACTTAAACACTTATTGCATGTGCAAGAGGATTAAAGAGAATGAATGAAAGTACATGATAAGGTAGTCTGTGTTATTCTTGATTCCAGTCACCCTGCAGCATGTGGGAAAAGACTTGTCAGAAGAAGGGAAATTCATTTAATATCTTGTTTTTATAATCCTCCCAACATCCTTCTGATTTATGGTATGTGTTTTAAATTCAATCTCTAAAACCTGTCACTGGACATGCAACAAGTTTTCTTTCCTAAATATTGTATTCTGATTTTTAATCTAGGAATTTCATATTTAAAATTGGTTAGTCGAAAAATCAAGAAACATACCAAATGTTAAAAAATTCCTACCTATGTCATTCACTGTAACACTCCTATATAAAAAATATCGCAGTGTATGACTCACCTCCTTAAGTTTTCTGTGCCTGGCATCAGAAATGTGCCTTCTACAGACAACTAAAGAATCACAATGGTAATCACAGAGACGGCAGAAATACTTGGCTTTCGGGAATCTGATGGATTTCTGAAAAAAGAACAAGATGATATGTTAATAAAATTGGTAAAAGCATAAACTTCATACAGAATTCATATTAATATTATGCTACAGCAAACCCTCGATAACTCGACACATATGGGGCTCTGGCCTTGCCGAGTTTGAATTAAACCTAGTGAACTTAAAATTTTATTGGTGAAATGACTGCATCAAACATGGGTCCCCTGAAAGGTGATTTTTCCTCCATCCCCACTTCCTTCTCTTCTCCCTTCTCCTCCACTCCCACTTCTAATTCCCATCATCATCACCAACCAGGAACCTTCTACATACACACCTCAAAGTAAGTGTACTGTACTTTACTGCATTTTTTTTTACTTTGTATGTACTTTTCCGTGAGCTGGAACCAATTACCCAATATCCCATTGAAACAATGGATTCGGTTAACGAAATTTTCAGTTAACGAACAACCTTCTGGAGCGAATTGTGTTTGTTAACCGAGGGACCACTGTACAGTGGTTCCTCGATTAACAATCACAATTCATTCCACAGAATCGTTTGCTACCCAAAAATTTCATTAATTGAATCTATTATTTCAATGGGATATTGGGTAATTGGTTCCAACTCACAGAAAAAGTACATGCAAAGTAAAGCAAAAAAACACATAGTCAGAAACACTCCTAAAAATCCCCTAAATTGCCCTTAAATCACGATATGTATACGTACATATACACTACAACTCTTAAATCACTACTGTAATGTGATGCAGGTGATTAATTTTTTTCTCTTGTCTTGCAAAGATTCCAGCAATGCAAATTATTTTCTCCTAACTTTCGTCTGTGATATTATATAAGATAAAAACTGTAAGCCTAAAACCCTGGCTAGGCAGATGGGGGGAGGGAGGGAGGGAGGGGGAGGTGAGGCCATATGTTTGACAGTTGGCACCGAAGGTCTAATGAGTGTTTATCAGTCCTTTAGAGTGACTAAGTTTTTCTCTTATAAAATGCCACTGAAATGACCTGGGAGAATATAATTTACATTGTTGGGATTCTTGTAAGATAGTGATTAATTTGAATACTGTATAAACATTTTATAATTTGCCCTAGACATAAAAATTTTAGTACTGTAATCATCTAGTACATGTACAGTACAGGTTTGCACTTAGGTCATTTATTTCTTTTACGTTTCTTTTAATATGGTGTGTGCATATAAATTAATAAAACAAATGAAGAAATTTATGTAAATCTACCCAAAATTATAGTTGAAAAACTTGTACATTATTAAAATGTACTAAACTAATGTACTAGACTCAAATTATTCACTGTCTTGCAAGGATTCCAGCAATGAAATTATATTCTCCTAACTTTAGTCTGTGACATTATATAAGATAAAAACTTTAAGCCTAAAACCATCAAACCCTGGCTGGGATGATATGGGAGGGGGGCAAGGAGGGGGGTGACAGTGACATGTTTGACAATTGGTGCCGAAGGTCTGGTGAAGTATTTATTTGTTTATTTATGTCCTTTAGATTGAGTTTCTGTTTTTTGCTTATAAAATGTCACAGAAGTGACCGGGAGAATATAATTTACATTGCTGGAATTCTTATAAGATAGTTATTAGTTTGAATATAAACATGCTATAGTTTGCACTAAACAAAAATCTTAGTAATCATTTTGTACATTATTTTGAGTACATGTACAGTACAGCTTGCCCTTAGAACAATGTGTGCATGTAAATGAGTAAAAATAAATTAATAGTTATATAGTACTGGTGGCCTATCAAAAATCCGGCAACCTCGGACCTGAGGGGTGCCGGATTTTCGAAAATGCCAGAAAACTGATGGTTATATTTGCTGTATAAGTTTAACAGAAAATGACTACCTGTACTGTCCTTTAAACAAAGAAAATTAAACACTTAAGTTAGGATAATATAATTGACATTGCTGGATTCCTTGTAAGACCAGGAATATTTTGAATATAAATTTCATATATTTTGCAGAAAAGATAACATATTTACTCAGAGTAAACATTATATCTAAAATTTGTATGTCTATTGCAAAATCTATGATGTTTATATTCAAAATGATCATCAAATTGTAAGAATTCCAGCAATGTAAATTATATTCTGGCCGGGTAATTTGTATGAATTTTATGAGCTAAAACAAATATCTTCAGTTAATAAAAAAAAAATATTCTTCACACACTATCTGTCAATCAAAGTACCCCAACTTGCCTCCCACCTCTTCCAACCGCGCCAGAAGGTCGGTCGGTCCCAACCCTCCCCCCACCCCCCACCTTCCATCCCTAACTTTTAGTAATAAATAATACCTCAAACTAAAGTTAGGATAATATAATTGACATTGCTGGATTCCTTGTAAGACCAGGAATATTTTGAATATAAATGTCATATATTTTGCACAAAAGATAACATATTTATTCAGAGTAAACATTATATCTAAAATTTGTATGTCTAATGCAAAATCTATGATGTTTATATTCAAAATGATCACCAAATTGTAAGAATTCCAGCAATGTAAATTATATTCTGGCCGGGTAATTTGTATGAATTTTATGAGCTAAAACATATATCTTCATTAAATAAACAAAGAAATATTTGAAAATGCGCTTCGAAATCTATGCCGAAAACTGAAGGTTCTGGTTTAGGTTGCCGTATTTTTGATAGGCCACCTGTATATCGAGCCAAAAATATTAGTTGAAAAACTTTACATAGACAGAGCTTGGATGGCTAAATTTTAGAATGACCAATAATTTTAATAAAAAAAAATGCAAAAATATTCAACAACACAACTTTCTTGATATTTAATCCACTGGAAACGAATGTAAACATAGAACCGATTACTGTATTGGCGGACTAGCCGATCAACTAATGCACACAAAAAAGCGTGTTTCTCTTAAGGCTTTCATTAATCAAAGTTTTGTTCGTTAATGGAACTGAAAATCTTTATGGGAGCTAATTCGTTAACCGAAATTTCGTTAATTGAAACGTTCATTAATCAAGGGACCGCTGTACTATACAGTATACAGTTCTCTCTTTATTCATAACACAAATTCTGTAGTTACTTACATATAACACTTTACAGTAAATAAAATCATCTCGGTGACAACAGTTAACAACCTGACTTATATGTCTGATTTTTAACCTAGGGTTCTGTTTCATATTTTTTTATCGTTGATGTAATATTCTTTTAATAATCTTGTTATAATGTACACTTAAAGACCTTAGTTATTGAAATGTAGTAATAACACAACAACAACTGATTTTCTTTAAACAGTTCAGATAAGCAGTGCTATCTACACCCTCCATAGATTATTCACTTTTTTTGAACTTTGACATTTTTCGGACTGGGGTCGGCCCCGAACAGTCCGATTTATCGAGGTTCTATTATATTTATACAGTGTGTGTGTGTGTTAATAGTCCATATAGCGTGCGAACTTCCATAAACAAACAATACCTCACTATAATATTTCCACGCTAATCTGGCCAGTAAGCCACGCCCTTTTCTATAATAATAACTGAATGGTTTCATAGAAAATCCAAACTAAATGTATTCACAATGGTAAGCAAACCTGTTATTGCCTAAAATAATGTTAAACAATTATCTGAACTATCAAAATGCAAATCATTTCAAGGCATTAGCACTTCAGAGAGGATGTTAGAATTTTTTTAATATATAATAAAAGGCCGATATAAATACATGCTTGTACACACGCAAGCCAGGGGGAGGTAAGATGCTCAGGGGGATCAATCAGCTATTTGTAGCTATAGACGAGGGACGGGGCTTATGGACCAGGTTAGAGTGGAAAGGGTATAGTCAGGAATCGAACCCTGGACCTCTGCTTGTGAACAGGGATCGCTACCACCGTGCCACAAGGACATGTATGTATGTATGTATGTATAAAATACCTTTTTCAGAGGAAATAAGAATTGTTCTTCAAGTTCTGCTAAAACTTCTGGACCAGGTCTGAAATCTGGACTTTCAACTTCAGGCCCCACTGCCATTTGAGAATTCATCGGGATATTTGACTGTCTCGGCCCATTCATACGCATATCTTTGTGATCTTTAGGCACTCCTCTGTGTTGATGTTGCTGAAACTGGTGGTGATTGCGTGGACTGCCACCATAGCCACGGTCGTAACTTCCCTGTCTATGGTTGCTTCTACTTGGGCTCCCATAACTGTCTGCACGTTGTCTGATGTCATGGTATCTGTGAGGCGGAGTCCGGTTTAAATCATAGTTTACATATCTGGGGTTACTTCTGCCAGGACTCCCATAACTGTCAACTCGGTGTCTACCATCTTGATATCTGCCAAAAGGAATAATCAAATTAAAACACACATTTCCCTAATGACCCAAAGAATGTGGATTAAACCTTCAACTGTTAAATTCAACTTTTTTTATATTTTGACTGTACTGCATGTATGTATATTATGTATGCTGTATGTGTATTATGTATGTATATTACGTATGCTGTATGTGTATTATGTATGTATATTATGTATGCTGTATGTGTATTATGTATGTATATTATGTATGTGCTCCATTTATATACATTATTTATTCAGCCTAGCTAGCAGCGTGTGGCAATGTATTTACCATGTCCCACATGCTTAATTAATGTGCCTGGCAACATATGGAAGCTGTTAATGTATCACTTCCCATATGCCCCTAGAAGCAGTTGACCTCCGGACAGAGTAAGGAGCGCTACTTCCCTTGTGTACATATCTGTTATCCAGTAAATAGAACCTACAAAAACTATACAGGTGTTTGTGTTCACTCCTGCACATAGAACTTAATACCCAGAACACGAACACTGTACAGTACTGTTATCCCATTTATTAGGTATAAAAAATAGCTACAAAATCCTCAACAGAGTAGTATTGTACAGGATGTCCCTGGGTTACAAACAGGTTCCGTTCCTGAGGATATTCATAAGTTGGATTTGTACGCAAGTCGGAACACATGTTACATACACAGCATATACCGTACTTACAAAAATAATTTTTAAAATACCACTATACCATAGCCTAAGTCCTTATATACATCTAAAATCACTTGACTTAAGGCAAAAGAAGAAATAGAATGACAAAATACAGTAAATAAAAGTAAATCTCAATTTAACCCCATTCGTATCGTCAGACGTTTGTAAGTTGAGGACCTCCTGTATACTGTGTTCACTGTGGCACGATAAAATAATAAATTTTCCAAATTACTACAGCTTTCATATCACTCAAAGGTGAAACTACAGGTATCCACCGTTTAGTGATAATTTACTTAGCGATAATTAAGTTTAGCAATTTAAAATTTCTCACACCCTTGTTTATTAACAATTTGCATGTGTGTGTGTGTGTATGTGTGTGTGTGTGTGTGTGTGTGTGTGCCTCTACCACCACTACTGCCTTACCCGACAGCATATGTCAAGTGCCAACTCATAAAAATCGCCTCGGTGAATAATACCTACATATTTGAGTACTGTACAACAAATGATGCGCCAAGTGTGACAAGGTACCAAGCGCCAAAAATCACAATTGAGAAAAACGCTCTTAAAGTTTGGAATAATTCAAAATGATGTATCTTTTGAACCAATGAAGATAATGAGTTCATTCAAGTGGCAGTGAGTAGAGCTCTTAAAGCTGGTGTTGCAGATACCAAAGTCATGTTAATTGAAAAGATCATTTATAGTAAAAATTGCATTGTTTTTGGTGGGTAGTGTTTGCAGTTTCAATAATATGCCTTGTTGAGGTATAATTTTCATTACATGGAAGCAATAATGTATTAAAACCACACCAGAAATTCAAAGGTCATTGTATTGTTTTCATAAAAGCAAACACTACCAGGTATTACCAATATTTTGACTGGGGGCCAAGCACCAAAAATTATAATAAAAAAAGAGGGGACTTAAGTCTTAATCATTATTAGAAAAATTAAAGTAAACAATGACTTGTATTACCAACATTACCACCCTCCCAGCCGCTTTCTCCTTTCTATTCCCCCCCTTTGGTGTGATAAGACTTGTCACTCGGACAGGCCAGAACATGACACGCCACGTGCCACCAGCCCTCACTCCCACCCTCCTTGCCCTGCCTTCTCTGTATTGTTTATTTTTTCTCAATGGACTTCACTCCCTCCTTTCTGCCAGTTGGGAAATAAAAGAAAAAGGTTCAAGTGCTATTACATAGCATGCCTATGACATTTTTGTAGAAACATGGACTCCCATTAGCTAATAAACCAGAAAATAATGAGTCGCTATAAGAGAGAGGGGCTACAATTGGGGGCCGCGGACGCTTGTCCCTTACTCCCCTTCAGTCCACCTCGATGAGCAGATCACGTACTGTAGAGGCGCTTTTACCTGCCTTCACTAATATGGCTCTCAGCCTTACAAATATTGCGCTACCGAGGCAGTTTGTGTTTCTGAAGATAGAGGAAAGGTTGGGGAGTACAGATAATACTATTACTAAATTTTTGGGGGATGGTGCATGGTACCTTATCGCACTCGGCGCCTCAAATATAGTAAAATAAGTGTAGAATTATGTAAATTTATGTTATTTTATGCATGTGCTGACTGAAACTTACAACAGCACTTTGCTGTGGAGCAGAGGCCTCTACTAGTCACATTCCATTTAGAATTGCTACATGTAAGTAAATAAAAAAAATATGCTTGAATTCCATTTTTCTATTTACCTACCTATCTAGTATTATATAATATCGGTCTAATATATATAAAAAATGTGGAAATAACAAAATTAGGTGGTGTAAAATAAATGTCGAGTGTCATGTCTCCCAGCCTACTCAAGAGATCATGGCAAAATTGGATTTTCAAGGCCAACACTAAACCACTTGAAAGGGAGACACTATATAATACAACCTATGAATCAGCCAACCTGAATTTTAGAATTTTTTTTAGAAATCATTGTCTAGCTTTTCCACCAAAAAACAGATATAAAATTTTTGGTATCCAGAGGTGGCACATATCTAGGTTCATTACATGGAAACCACTTATTTTAGGGGCATGCTGCCGGCGCGCCACATACAAACCCAGGCCGTTACTACACTAATTTTTACCCTGTCTTTGAACATTGTGATCTGTGCTTTACTATATTGCTCCGTATATTATCAATCACTGTGCATCATTCCTTTTGCTGTGCATTGGAGTTATTGTTGTGACTTTGGAGTGTTAATGAGTATTATACGGAATGTTCATTACCCTGTACTAGTGTATTGTCTACTGAAGTGATTGTTCGTCCTTCCCCCTCTGCTCTTGTAGGCTAACTGCGAACCAGGTAAGAAGTGTTAACAGTATTCCTTTTATGTTTTGACCTTATTATAATTATTTTTTTTTTACACATTCTGTATAAACAGATGTGTGTGTATGTAACAGAGTGCAAGAAAATGAAGAACATTATGAATATCTACCAAAAATTACGAGTTGAACAATAACATAGCCCACAGCTCAGCCTCACCAGCTCTAGTGCTGCTGGGTGACGAGTCAGTCAGTTAGCAACTCAGCCATACAATTTAGACCCATCACCACTGATATTATTCCTCATTATCCCTTGTTTATGTCATTATTTCTCGTTTCTGTTCACTTGGCGATCAAATCACTTAGTGATATACTTTAAGGAACGCATCCCGATCGCTGAACGATGCATCCCCGTAGTTTCTTAATTCATTCTTTAATTATCACAAATAAAGACTCTGCTATGGCATCATCAATTCTCTGGCTTTACCTCATCTCTGGGTTTAAGTTACACAAATAACCAACTCCATTAATTTCTTGTGCAGGTTACTTCCCACCCTTTTATCACTACTGTACTTTCAATTGTGCATCAACAACCTTCCATCCATCATGCACTGGACATTACCAAGTAAGCTAAAAATTTCATTTATATAACTTTCTACTGCATTCCTCATTTTTAGAATACTTCTTACTTCTATAATATTTAATATGTAACCTTCTTATAAAAAAATGTACCCTACATAGTATAGGTTATTGAATGGTGGCAGCCTCATACTTTGTGTATCAATAGCTAGTGAAATATTCAAACAAAATACCCTGTAGTAAGGACAACTGCCAGACAATGCAAACTTCTATGATATTCCACACTCTCATTAACTAACATGTTCAGAGACTACATCTTTTTCCTTGCCTTTCTGTTGCTCTTTGGACTGAATGCTGCTTCCAAACATCTCATTCAAGCCACATACCTAAATTACAAATACTTTTAAGTGTTCTGCAAATTTATTAAATTTTCATATTGACCCAATTTCTTTCCATAGAGAAGAGAAAAGGAACAACCTCACAATCCCTTGTTTTCAAACTCAATTCATAATTTACTCCACAATCCAGATTTATATTTTATTCACACTTTTCATCCATAACACAAATAATTGAATCTCAGGTACTACTTCTACTGGAAGTATTCTTAAGAACCTTAAAATCTTTCACTTGCATGATAATAAATGCAAATTATTTTTATTCTACTTGTATTATTTAAATTATAACATATCTTCTCGTCTTTCATGAATGCCTCAAACACTCCTTTATCTAGCAGTAACCTCATATCCTGTGTACAAACAGGGATACTGTACTTAACACTGTTCACAAACTCCATCAATCTATTTAATGTCTGAAATACAAAAACATAAAACACAAGGTACATTAGCAACTTCATAGTAGGAGATCTGACGGACACATGTACAGGGTACTATGTTACGAGAAATCTAAACTTAAAACGGAAAGACAAGTGGGTTACAATTGTGACAATGACAACATATATCAGTGATGAAGCTGAAAATTTATGATACTCTTATCACAACAGAAAGACTGGACGACTATGGGTAAACACTAGTCAGTACAGTACAGTACAGTAGTAGATCAGGGAAATATGAAAATAAAAATATAAAAATATGCAATTACAGTGCCAAGGAAGTGAGTACTGGTACACAAAAATATTACAAAACTTAGAAGAGACTAAACTCTTTTACCTGTGGTTATCCCAGCGTTGTTGCTTACTGGAAGGACTGCCAGACCTTTCCAAGTGCTCATTTATAAGTTGACCCTATGGAAAAATAATAAGAACGTTAGGGAAGACGTATTTCCTTGCTAACAAGTAATAACGAGCCAATTATTAACTGTAATAATTAGACTATGGGGCGACAACCAGGAATATTTAATTTGTCAATTAATATAACAGTACTGTACCTGTAGCCTGTATAGTAGTTAATACAGTACAGTACAGTATATTGTACCAGTACTGTAATTACTTTCCTAATTTCCATACTTGCTTCTCCTAGTTCCCCTTATTCTCTTAAATTGCACTTCAAATTTTGGTAATACAGTGAACCCTCAAAGATCCAAGTTAAAAGGGGGGACCAGTTGTCCGAAAAAGCCGATTGTCCATATCTTCCAGCAATGTACTAAATGTATAAAAATGATAAATAATTATATAAACAACCCCCCCCCCCTCATTTTAGCAGGGCATATTTAGGAGAAACTTTTGTTTCTCTGACAACACAGCATACATATATCGTTACTCACTTCTTTTTTTTGTATTTATGGTCCTTCATTATATATTATTTAATTTTATTTTAATATATTTTTATTTAATCTTTTCTTTAATTTTTTTAATAGTTTTTATTAATTTTTATTGTTATTAATTATTATTATTATTATTACTGTATTATGTGTTCGTCCCCAGGCCCTGGTGGGCTAATTCTGTGTATATAAAAAATATATGTCCAGTATATGCATATACAAACTGTACAAAGAAAATTATATTCCCCTTATGTGTTTGCCCTGAGCACAATTATTCCTTTGACCTGTATTGTATACTGTATATGTGTGTGTCTACACACACACACACATATACTGTATACAATACAGTGGACCCTCAGTTAACGAACGCCACGGTTAACGAAATTTCCGTTAACGGATTACCTTCCATAAGAATCTTCATTTCGGTTAACGAACAAAAATTCGGTTAACGAAATTCTTGCGAAAATGTTTCGACATGCTTTGGGTTGCTCACCAGCTGGAAGATTAGTCTGCCAATACAAAAATCGGTTTTAGGGCTTACATTCGTTAAAATTGGAGTAGATATCAAGAAGGTTGTACAGTGGTGCCTCAGTTAACGAACTGCCTCCCATAAGATTCTTAAATTCAGTTAACGAACAAAAATTCGGTTAACGAATTTCTTACGAACTGACCTCAACATGTTTTCGCTTGCACTGGCCGGTCAACCAGCTTTAGTATTAGTCCGCCAATACATTAATCGGTTCTAGGGCTTAAATTCCTTACTATTGTAGTAAATATCAAGAAGTTTACACTATTCAATAATTTTAAAAGTTTAATATTCAATTTTTTAGTCATTTTAACAATTATTGAACATAATTGAAGGAAAAGTGACTAGTTTAATGCACGGCATCCAGCCTCTTAACACAGCAAACAGGCGTTAGTCTCTCTCTGTTTTCACTGGAGGTAACGTCTTGCTTGAGACTCTCTTCAACTAAACGCTATTTTTCTGTGTTTCCAAGCAAATTATTGGTCATTTTGAAATTTATTTTACATATTGACAATATATAGCGCAGTGCAGTGTTATTTTAAAGAAAATATTCTTTATTTACAACAAGTTTAACTTTGAAAAACACGTGTTGACATTGTTTGAATCCAGCATGGGGCCTAAGAGATCAAGAAAAGCTATTTCAATCCAAAACAAGCAGGAAATTATAAAAAAACATGAACAAGGCATTAAATCAAAAGTGCTTAGCAAAGAATATGGCATGTCGGCATCAACTGTGTCGACAATTCTTGCACAGAAAGACAAATTTAAAGAAGTGAAAGAGAGAGACAAATCTACAAGTGTTTAAAAGTAGATCCCTAATCGCAGAAACTGAGAGGTTACTTATCATCTGGATTAGGGAAAAACAGATGAAAGGTGATTCAGTTTCTACTGAATTCATTTGTGAAAGAGCCAGGGAAATTTACGAACATTTAAAGGCAGATCAACCTGGTTCTTCAGGCACAGAATTTGAAGATTTTCGGGCCAGCAAAGGCTGGTTCGAAAAATTTAAGAAAAGAAGTGACATTTTCAGTGTTGTTAGGCATGGTGAAGCTGCTAGTGCTGATAAAGAAGGGGCAGCAAAGTTTTTAGTTGCATTTAAAAAACTGATGGAAGAAGAAAATTATCTTCCACAGCAAGTGTTCAATGTGGACGAAACTGGGCTGTTCTGGAAAAAGATGCCCAAAAGAACATTCATCACCAAAGATGAAGCCTCTTTACCTGGGCATAAACCCATGAAAGACCGTCTCACTCTATTGCTTGGTGCCAATGCTTCAGGGGATTTCCGACTGAAGCCTATGCTTATCTACCACTCTGAAAACCCCAGGGTGTTAAAGCAACAGAAAGTGGTAAGAGCAAAGCTTGGAGTTTATTGGAAGTCCAACCGTAAGGCATGGGTGACAAGACAGCTCTTTAATGAATGGGCTGTTGATGTGTTTTGCCCTTCTGTCAAGAGCTACCTAACCACCAATAAACTCCCTTTAAAGGTTCTTCTCCTCATGGATAATGCTCCTGGTCATGACCCTGACCTTGCCAGCAATTTGGAGTATCAATTTGACTTTGTGAAAGTGTTGTTTTTGCCTCCAAACACTACATCAATCATACAGCCAATGGACCAGAATGTGATCAGCAACTTCAAGAAGTTGTACATGAAGAAAATGTTTAGGTGTCGTCATCAGGCAACTTCCAATGATCCTGAACTAACACTGAAACAGTTCTGGAAGACAAAATTCAACGTCCTGGAGGCTGTAAAATTGATTGTGTCATCATGGCAAGAAGTCTCCACTAGATCCCTCAATTCTTCATGGAAAGCACTGTGGCCATCAGTAGTCCATGATTTTGAGGGATTTCACGATGACACAGAGTTGGACAAGGAGATTGTGTCCATTGGTCAGTCATTGGGCCTTGAAGTGGAGGAGGAGGATGTGAAAGAGCTTGTGATGTCTCATGAGGAGGAACTTACTCCTGATGACTTGAAGCAACTGGATAAGATGTTACAGGTAGAGGCTGACAGTGGTGAGAAGGAAATTGAAAGTGATGACCATATGTCAGCTAAACAGTTGAAAGATGTGATTTACCACTGGGAGAAGTTCAGGGAACCGGCTTCAAAGCACCCAGAAGTGGAAAAAACTGAACTAACTTTGTGTCATGTTGAGGACTCAGTGGTCTCCTTCTTTAAACATAAGTTAATGGTGAGGAGGACAGATGCCCCACAGACCACAATTGACACTTTCTTCAGTAAAAGGCAGAGGGAACAAGATGCTATCCCTCAGCCTTCCACTTCAAGAAGGAGAGAGGATGTTCATGGTGGAGAATCTGTCAGTCCAGAGGTTCCTGACATTTTCATGGAAGGTGACTCACCTTCCAAGAAGCAGTAAAATGCTTCTCCTCCACCTCCACTTCCTTCTCTTCTCCCTTCTCCTCCTCCACCTCCCACTTCAAATGCACATCATCATCATCATCCAGGAGCCTTCTACATACACACCTCAAAGTAAGTGAACTTTACTACCATTTTTGTTGAATTTAAGCAATTTTCGGTGAGCTGGAACCAATTACCCAAAAACCCATTGAAACAATGGTTTCGGTTAACAAATTTTTCGGTTAATGAACAACCTGCTGGAACGGATTGTGTTCGTTAACCGAGGGACCACTGTACTATTCAATAATTTTCCAAGTTTTATATTAAAATTTTTAGTCATTTTAACACAATTTAACATAAATGCAATACAGGGAACTAGTTTTTGGTGCGCCCATCAGCCACTTCACTCACCCACCAAGGCCTCAGTTTGTATCTCTGTTCAGTGGAGGAATTATCTTGCTTGTGGGTCTCTTGAACACAGTATTTTTACGTTTTTACAGTACAATATTTGGTCATTCTGAAATTTATTTAACATATTGACAATATTCAGTGCAGTACAGTGCTGATTTAAAGAAAATAATCTTGAATTACACCTAGTGAACTTAAAATTTTATGGGTGAAATGACGGCATCAAGCATAGGGTCATTTCTCTTCCACCCCCACTTCCTTCTCTTCTCCCATCTCCTCCACCCCCACTTCGAATTCCCATCATCATCATCAACCAGGAGCCTTCTACATACACACCTCAAAGTAAGTGTACTTTACTGCATTTTTTTTTTACTTTTTATATAATTTTTAGTGAGCTGGAACCAATTACCCAAAACCCCATTGAAACAATGGTTTCGGTTAAAGAACGACCTTCTGGAACGAATTGTGTTCGTTAACCGAGGGACCACTGCACAGCTTAAAGATTGCATTCTTTAAAGAAAAAAGATGCAGTAAAGTGACTGTTACACAATAAAGGAATGTTTATGTTTGTATAAAGAAAAAAGGGGTGTCAAAATGAGACTTATTTGTTAAAGCAAATGTTTGTTTTCGCATAAACTGATTTTTTTATCTGGTACACGTGAATCGTAGGATACCTGCACAGGACTTCTATGATAATCCTGTACTTCAGGTGCCTCACAACATCTAAACCTAATTTTGTAGTTGTGTTTAGTAAATAAATCAACAAAAATACTGTACAGTGATGAATTAAAAAACAATCATGTAAACTAAAAGTTCTGTGGTTCTCTATCTTATGTTTGGCCTGACTTGACAATGAATATGGATGAATTCAAAGGAAATTTTGGTTAATCAAACACAATTGTTCTGCTGCCAATTTAATTGATCGATATCAGCATTCAGCTTATTTTCTTCTCAAATACTGTACTGTTTAGTGTATATATCCTATCCTATCAGTTTTGAAAACAGATTTAGATCAATAGGTATAAAACTATGACATAACGCATCATTGCACTAATTCAGGTTCATTAAGGGGGCCATAAGCTAATACAGTAGTAGTATTGTTATGGATTAAAATTACTGAAGAAACTTGGACATAAATAAGCAAGATTTGCACATGAGGAATTTAAAGGAATACTGAAATAAACTTCATACAAGAAACCTGCTACCTCACCTGTCTATGCCCGGGAATATTCTGTGGGGGTGTGTGTGGCTGGGCTTCCACAACTGCTTTTCCCGATTCCTCTGTTGGGATCCTAAGTAATTGTTTTATCTGGTTTGTGGCATCGTAGGTTCCACCTCGCCACCCACCCCCTCTGGAGTCCCCTCCTCCCCCATTCGGGCCATCCATCATCACAATTAAAAGCCACACTTACTGCAATCAAGGATGACATGGATTAGCATACAAAAGCATGATAAAATATGTAAATCTTGAAATTAACCTGATAACTGCAACATACATTCTGGAATGATAAGCGGAGGAGTGCAACATAAATTCTGGAATTCAGAGCATTTTGAGTGCAGCGAGCAAAAAAAAATTATATCTCGCAGGGTCAAGTACCCACTATGTGGGGTTTACACTCGCCAGTTTCTTGAGTCCCCCACTGAGACATAAGTTTTCTCTAAACTCTGTTTCAGAAACTGGATGAAATCTTATGTTGATGTTGTGTATTGTATACTGTACTGAATATTTAATGAGTCGTATGTTGGGGTGAGCAATAGAGGTTAGAATCCTTTTTCCACCCTATGAGAGAATTGGCGACCAAACTAAGGTAAGTATTAGACTCCCATTTGGTTTCCACATTCTTCTACATATTATCATTTAATCCACAAGAGTTAAATAATGTCCGTGGAAAATCGATATACAGTGTACGTGTTTTTTGCACGCTAGGGGGTCGATTGGCAAATCACTTTAATGCAGTTATAGGTTTAAAAAAAACACTGGAACACACTTAAGCTACTAGACAAATGTTATACAGGTTGACAACCCTTTAACCGAAATTCCAAAAACCGAAAGTTATTTTGTGGAGCAATTATTATTTTTTTTTTAAACAGGGATTAGCCCACCCAGGCATAGATCACTGACCCACACCGGGGCATGGGGGGGGGGCCGAATGTAATAGTAATACTAATTATAATAATATTAAATATAATAATAATAATTATTCACAGTAAATAAAAATTTTAATTAAAAATACTGTACACCAAAACAAAATAATAATGATAACAATAATAATAATAAAATATTATAATAAAATTTAGAATAATAATTATAACAACAATACTGTATTTATAAAATAATAATAATAATAATAAGAATAAAGAAATACAAGAATGAAAAAGATAAAAAGTGAAAAACACGACCTAGACCTTTGAATTATTATTATTATTATTATTATAATTGTTATTATATTTTCGCCCCACAGGCCCCAATGTGGGTCAGTGACTTGTGCCTGGGTGGGCTAATAATTAAAAAAAAAAAAAAAAACTATTCTGAAAACCAAAAAATTCCGAAATCCGAAATGCCTCTGGCCCCAAGGATTTCGGATAAGGGATTGTCAACCTGTAACTGGAAGGCAACAGAGGAGGTCTCCCAAGCCAACTTTACAGGAGTCACTAGTTCATACAGCTTTGGGATTGACACTTTGGTAAGCATGTCAACTTGGCAACCATGAACCCAAAATATCAGGCACACTACAATAAATACAATACAGGTACAGGAAAACCTCAATAAACAATGTCTCATTCAGTGAAATTACGCTTTAATGATGGTCATGAATTACGACCATCTCAGGATATACTGTACGATAAAAAAATTCGCTCAAATGATACCCACTGAATATCCATAGGTTGGAAATTTTATTTTATCTCTAGTGCAAACTATGGGGTGTATATATCATCATTAAAAAGGGACCAAAGTGAAGGCTGTGAGCACAGAACTGTAACAGTGCCACGATTTTTTAAGTAAACTGTCAGGCTTAGAGAAAATATATATGTATTCCCGCCCATGTGTTCCCACCCAAACTGACCAATGACAGTGTAAGTGCCTTAGGCATAGGCCAATCACAGAGACCTGTGAGTGTGATGTCATAAGCATAACGGGGCTGATTGGCTGGAGGCTCGAGTGTAGTGCCCAGCAGCAGGTGCACATTTACATGATGTGGCAACGCAGCGCTGTAGTCATGGGCGTCAAACAGTGAATTACCCAGTTAGCCTGTTCCCCTTTGTTCATTCCTAATCACTCAGTCCTGATTACACAACACTACTGCTAACACATATTACAGGGTTCGTTTATCTGTTTACCTCTTTTATTGCTTGAATCTTATCACAAACAGAGTAATTTCACTGTTTAATGCCCATTCATTCAGCTGTCCCCAACGCTGCATTACCACATCTCATACCAGCGCCCTCACACACTCCCAGGTTGTGGTACATTCATGTGGAGACAACTCTATATATCTCAAATTGTTGATTTTATTCTTACTCTTTACAAGCATTATTTGTTTTATGGTGATGAGTGTCCAGAACCAAGAGCAAGCAACAGAAAATAACAGACTCCTTCTCGAGGCCGTGGTCACCCCAACCATCAACAGCATCTGCCGATCTGGAGCCTGAAGCCACTGATCCTGATGATCCATTGGCTTAAGAAATTCAATTCATTCCAGTTTCATCATAATCAAAGTCTTCTTCCTCAATCACCGTCATCTGAAGGCTTCACAACTTCTATGATATCATCGTCATCATAGTTACACTAAAATCATCTAACCAGGAATCGGTGAGTACAGTAATATATTTTGTAATGTGTATCATTAATATCTTCAATTATTTATGGTATGTTAGTTCTATTATTATCATATTTGTGTATTATGTAAATGTTGAAAAGGTATACATTTCACGTGATAAAAGCCCATAAGTGGCCACGATCCAGCCACCCCATTTTTCCCATAAGAAGTTATGTTTGCTCAACGCGATTTTGCCCTGCACGCAGCTTTCGAGGAACCTAACCCCTGCATTGGGAGAGAGTTTACTGTATAGATTTGTTTTATCTAATAATTACTACTAATAATTTGTGGTTTAGTCAAATACATAATATAATACTTAATAAGAACAAAATTTATACATAAATTAATTTTATTTATAATTTGTGCACCCTGTAGTATGGCATGGATAATATTAAAATTTGGGGAAATCCTTACTGTGATGTTTTGTACAGGTTTGTTTGGTGTTTTAGTTTTTATTTATTTTTTAATATTTTAACCCACAATTTCCCTCTACTTAAAAAGCCTTGCCCACTTTGAAAACCATGATTGTTGGTAATTGGGGGGAGGGGTTCCCATCTCCACAATGACTCATTTGTGACAGAAATGAAGGCCAGATTCATAAGAACATAAGAAAATAAGGAGTCTGCAATAGGCCGGTTGGCCTGTGCATGGCAGCTCCTGTCGAGAGTTACTACCACTCTCTATCATCCATGAATCTATCTAGCCTCCTTTTGAAACTTTCCAGAGTTCCCGCACTTACTACAAAGTTGCTAAGCTTGTTCCACTCGCCCACCACCCTATCTGTGAACCAGTTTCTTCCTATCTCCCTCCTAAACCTAAACTTATCCAACTTGAATTCCTTGCTCCGAGTCCTATCCTGCTCGGATATTATAAGAACTTTATCTATATCCCCTTTATTGATTCCTTTCACCCACTTAAATACTTCTATCATATCTCCCCGCACTCTTCGTCTTTCTAGGGAATGCAAGTTAAGTTTCTTTAACCTATCCTGATATGGAAGGTTTCTAAGTCCCGGAATCATTTTTGTCATTCTTCGCTGCACCGACTCTAGTGAATTTATATCCATTCTATAATAGGGGCACCAGAACTGAACCGCATAATCGAGGTGCGGCCTGACTAGCGCAAGATATAGTTGCAATAAGACCTCTGCACTCTTGTTACTTACACTTCTAGATATAAAACCCAATACTGTTTGCCTTATTTCGAACATTAACGCACTGTTTTCTAGGCCGTAGGTCCGGGCTTACAAGTACCCCTAGGTCTCTTTCACAAGTCGACTTCTCTAGGTTGATGTTGTTAAGGCTGTATACATTGTAAGTATTTGTTCTTCCAATATTAAGTACGCTGCACTTGCTGGTGTTGAATTTCATTTGCCATTTTTCAGACCACCCCTGCAGTTTATTTAGATCCTCCTGTAATGCATTTGCATCCTGCCCTGAATTAATTGCCGCCCTATTTTGGTGTCATCCGCAAACTTGCTTATGTCACTGCCGATCCCAGTATCTAGATCGTTTATGTAGATTATGAACAAGAGTGGGCCTAGTACTGACCCCTGGGGAACCCCACTGGTTACACGGCCCCACTCAGATTTAACACCATCTACGCTGACCCTCTGCGTTCTATCGGTGAGCCATGGTTTTATCCAATTTAAAACTTTCCCCTCGATACCATGAGCCTTAATTTTTCTCAGAAGCCTCTGATGCGGCACTCTGTCAAATGCTTTGCTAAAGTCTAAGTAAATAACATCATAATTATCGTCATTATCTACTACCTCGAAGACTTTCCTAAAAAAGTTAGCAGATTTGTTAGAAATAACACAAAATACACTAGGAAAACCAATTTTTTAGTAATCTGCGTGTTGGTTATACGACAAATCTTTATCGAAAACAACCCTAAACGACAAGGAAATTAATTTTTTTAGAAAATCCTTTTGTTTCAGGTTGCATCATAACTGGAGCACTACCGGGTAGAGTCAAATAGGCAATTATTGGTAAAATACAATGTTACCAATATTCTAACGTTGTTTTCTTTTACCCTATCCCATACATGTAGCCTATTACTATTTGCGATAATGTAGCCATATGATTTAATTATGGCTCACAAGATACATGATATAATTATTGTTCACAAAAGTAGAGGAACTAAATATATTTGGAAATACTTCAGGTTTAAAGTACGTAACATGTTGAAGGTTAATGTTTAAAGCAACCAAGATCATAGTGATAATAAACGAAGAGAAAACACCAAGCTTCAACCATACCTCGCAGTGATACTTATGACCCCCAAGATCACACAGGTACACAACGCGATAACAATACTCAACGACAACAAAGACTTCAAGCAAATATAATTCATGCAGCAAAGACTTTAAGCAAATAAAATCCATGCAACAGAAAAACATTACAGCAACAAATATGTCCAGCTACCTTGTAGAAAGTGGTAATATCAGTTTGTAAACAAATCGTCTTGCACTTTCCCTCCAGTTTGCCACCATACCAATACATCCCTCAAGTCCATCTACGCGTTTTTCCGCCCTCTGCCGGAAGCCCATGTCTTTAATCAGCTAATTACTCACCGTTATGTGATTCATGGATCAATTCAGGAGTGGAGGTGGCCGGTAATAGAGAATAGCTCTCAGCTGAGGCGTCGCAGTACCTAATGTTGTGTTGTCGCGCAACCCCCGCTAGATGGCAGCTCCCAGCCCTCTCACCCGCGCCAACCTTTGAATGGAGGCGCAGGAGGGGGACATTAATGCAACACCTTTTAAACACACTTTCTACATAGTAGAAATCTAGGAGATAATTTTTTCTCAAATAAATAAGCAAATTATATATATATATATATATATATGCACTTCAAGTAGATCCACAATGAAAACGTGGATAAAATAAATCTTGAATAAAGACGAAAGCTAAGGTGCTCCGTTGTTTCCCTTTTCCCGTGTGATTTATATATATATATATATATATATATATATATATATATATATATATATATATATATATATATATAAAATCATGGCTCACCGATAGAACGCAGAGGGTCAGCGTAGATAGTGTTAAATCTGAGTGGGACCATGTAATCAGTGGGGTTCCCCAGGGGTCAGTACTAGGCCCACTCTTGTTCATAATCTACATAAACGATCTAGATACTGGGCTCAGCAGTGACATAAGCAAGTTTGCGGATGACACCAAAATAGGGCGGCAGATTATTTCAGGGCAGGATGCAAATGCATTACAGGAGGATCTAAATTAACTGCAGGGGTGGTCTGAAAAATGGCAAATGAAATTCAACACCAGCAAGTGTAGCGTACTTAATATTGGAAGAACAAATACTGTCAATGTACACAGCCTTAACAACATCAACCTAGAGAAGTCGACTTGTGAAAGAGACCTAGGGGTACTTGTAAGCCCGGACCTACGGCCTAGAAAACAGTGCGTTATTGTTCGAAATAAGGCAAACAGAGTATTGGGTTTTATATCTAGAAGTGTAAGTAATAAGAGTGCAGAGGTCTTATTGCAACTATATCTTGCGCTAGTCAGGCCGCACCTCGATTATGCGGTTCAGTTCTGGTGCCCTTATTATAGAATGGATATTAATTCACTAGAGTCGGTGCAGCGAAGAATGACAAAAATGATTCCGGGACTTAATAACCTTCCATAACAGGATAGGCTAAAGAAACTTAACTTGCATTCCCTAGAAAGACGAAGAGTGCGGGGAGATATGATAGAAGTATTTAAGTGGGTGAAAGGAATCAATAAAGGGGATATAGATAAAGTTCTTATAATATCCGAGCAGGATAGGACTCGGAGCAACGGATTCAAGTTGGATAAGTTTAGGTTTAGGAGGGAGATAGGAAGAAACTGGATCACAAATAGGGTGGTGGACGAGTGGAACAAGCTTAGCAACTTTGTAGTAAGTGCTGGAACGCTGGAAAGTTTCAAAAGGAGGCTAGATAGATTCATGGATGATAGAGTGGTATTTACTTTCGACAGGAGCTTCAATGCACAGGCCAACCGACCTATTGCAGACTCCTTATTTTCTTATATATATATATACATATATATATATATATATATATATATATATATATATATATATATATATATATATATATATATATATATATATATATATATATATATATATATCACTGACCATCACTAAGGTTTATTGATTAAGGAATTAAAATCAATAAACCTTAGTGATGGTCAGTTCAAAACTGATAATATGTTACATAAATTTATTTGTCAGTGGACCAAGGTAAAAAATGCTTTGTAAACCTTTGATCTAGATGTATGATAGTTATTTTGTGGGCCCCTTTTTTCTGACCTGACTTGGCTAGTCACGTCACCACCCTTCTCTTAAGCTCCTCTACGTGTGTGTTGGTGTGGGGATTAGTGGATGTCATCATTATGACCTTGTAGTGAGGGGTTGTCAGACCACAGCTTACATCTCAGAAACTCCAGTCTGACCGGACATTAGCCGAGGGCAAAAGTATAGGGTAACTCTGCGGTTGACCAAGGATTGTAAACCAACTAGCTCCCCCTCCCATGTCACACATGTAAGAAGGCACCAGCCGACTCTCTCCCAATATACAATAACCTACACCGCAGAAAGAAGTCCAGACCTGACCTCACAATTAGCCAGGTCACTTGTAACCCTTGGAACCCAACTCAAGGCCTCTCGTGTTACACGGCCCCACCTGACGACTTCTCCTTACATCTCAGAAACTCCAGTCTGACCCGACGTTTGGGAAGTCAAGTGTAGGGGAACTCTCACGGTTGCTCTCCCAATATACACATGGCCCCACCTGATGACTTTCCCAGATAGTTCTGAAAAGTCCAGGCCTGACCGCACATTTGCGGGGTCAAATGTAAAGAGACCCTTCGCCGCCCCCCAGGCCAGCTGAACCTGACGGCTCGCTTCCCAATATATAGGACGTCCTGGTCCTCCCTCGAGGAATTGGCAGAGAAGCAGTTGTCTTGTAACTAGTGAGGGCCAGCTACCACGTCCCCAGTCCCGCTCGAGAGAAGCCCACCACTAAGTGTAACGAAGTCTCAGCTGGGTCCATCGACAAAGTGCTGTCAACTCCACGTGTAACAGTAAGTGCTGGCTGTGTAGACTGTAGAAGTGCAGTGATCCCGAACCTCCCCAACGATCGACTTAGTGAAGTGCCCATTTTAATTGTGAGGTTAGGTTATACGAGAATACCATAGTCTATCATAAATTGTGTACGAACCCCCCTATTAATCCCCCCTATTGAACTAGTAAAATAAAGCTGTAACACGCATTGGTGTTTTATATACTACACTTGTACTGTGCCTGTGTTAATATACAGTGTTGACATCATACCCTCGAGACACGCTACCATTTCCTCTCGCTATAATACTCTACTACTATAAACTCCTAACTTACCTCTTCATGTGAGATTTTGTCTCATTACAATGGTGGCAGCGCCTTAACGTAATACTCACGCCTCTTAACTTTAGTGTTCAGTACAGTGATAGTTAGAATCTTTTGAAGTAATCTCGTAACTATCTTGACGAAGCAGGCAGTACAAGGGTGGTTGCATTCGTAACATTATATTGGTGGCATTCACGCTTCCCTCGTCCCTTGTTATTGGTAACAGTGTACTTAACGTAAACCCATGCCCTCCCTCATTTTAGCCATAACACCTGACTCGTTGTTTGAGTATTGTTCGAAAGTGCGTGATAAGGAGTTCATGCAAGATATAGTTACATTATATAGGTGACAGCGAACTATATGTAATTCACGCTCTCCTTGTCTCTTGTTATAGGTGACAGCGAACTATATATGTAATTCACGCCTCCCTCGCTTAGTTATTATAATGGTAGCAGCGAACTTAACGTAAACTCACGCCTTCCCTCGGTTAGCCATAACACCTGGCTCGTTTCATCCTTCATTTGTTTCAGTCTAAGTTTGTCTACAATTGTGTAATAAGTAATTCCCGTGTCGTAGCGTGAAAAGTGGCCTAGTGTGTCACCGCTACAGCTCAAGTAAATGTCTCTCGTCGTGGTATGCGCGAATTTTTTTTTTCTAGAAATATGTTCAGTGCTTAATATAATTTCTCAGTGTTCCCCGCGTTCTGTGAAGTTCTCAGTATCCCAAGTGCATTTTAATTGTCGGTCAGTGTTAAATGTACCCATTGTGTTTTAGCGATAGAAGCGGTGTCTGTACTAACTGTTATAACTTAACATGTCTTTTAACCTACATCCTCCTCCCTGTCCTAACCCTCACCTCACCCTCCGTACCCATCCGTTCCCGCCTCGCTCCACCCTGCCCTGCCCTCCGCCCCGCCCCGCCCCGCCCCGCCCCGCCCCGCCCCGCGCCCCGTCCCGGGTACGCCACTCTACACCTCAGGCCTTCCCTAGGTCACGCGCGCATCATGGCCGAATGTTTCCCGCCCCGCCCGCCCGTGTGACCACCAATGTTTTGTCCTGTGAGTTATGCTTCGAAATTGGTGGTTAGTGTTACTTAACATTGCGATAATTACAGAGCTTCACTCAGTGTGTTTTTATGCTAGTATGATTTGTAATGTACTCTTTGACGCGTAGTGATAAATAATATTCAATGTAGTGAGCAGAGCTTCACTCCCCGACCCAGCCTAATGAGAAAATTGTCGTGACGGAAATAATAGTTACCAAACATTGACGTAACTTATAAAGTAAATATCTGTTTTTTTTTTTGCGAATGCACTTCCAACTAATCCATCATCCCTTTAGGATTGTTTCTGTCAAATGTCACACACAGTACCGCCCCATGGCTAGCCGGAATCCGTCCACAGCACATATAAGAAGAGAAGTAGCAGCGTGAAGAATGCAGCGTGAGGAATGCAGCACCACACCCGCCACGCACCACCCCCACTTCTTTCAAGTCCTACCTGGTCTAGGATTAAGAAGAGTTTATATTTTTCTACTAGGAAGTTAAGGAGTGTGGAATGAAGTGCCACACAACGAACCCTGGTGAGCCCAGCCAGGGAGGGATTCACCACTGTGGAAGGTGTAAGACAGGACGGTCTTTGGTCTCGCCGACACTCACGTACGGAGGGCGAGGCCTGGTCCGCGGAACCTGCCTTACGAGTTATCTAATGAGACGACAGCCCAAACAGTGGACCGGCTTCATCCCAGCCGGAGAGGGCCGACGGCAGATGAACAGAAAATCGTCTGGAATATGTTGAAAATGATGATGTTGCAGAGAAGAAATGCAGATGAAGCAGAAAAATTCATCTGGAATATGACGGAAAACGAAGATGTATAAAGAAACGCAGACGAGCAGAAAAATCGTCTGGAATATGAAAAGGCTCTAAACGTAGAGGAAGAACAGGTGAACAGAAAAATCATCTGGAATAGGATAGAAACCAGGAGGAAGTGAGAAGAAGTCAGATGTGGTGACACGACCTACAAAGTGCGGTATTGAAGAAAGAAAAACGTGCTATGTGAAGACAGAAGAGACGCTGTGCTGACATCAGAAGAAAGTCGACGATGACAAGGTGGATAATCAAAAGGACCAATCGACTACCGTT